ATAGCCTATTGTTCCCCTCAACAAATGTAGCACTTGCATTCTTAAAAACTCCTTCACTTGGCAACACTCCCTCGAAATCATTGGAAGAGAGATTTAAATACTTTAATGCCCTCAAACTGACAAGAAATTTCGGAATCTCACCCGAAAGATTATTATCAGATACATCCAATGCCTCAAGACCTTTCAATGAACTCAAAGAAGAAGGAAGAGGACCTTCAAACAAATTCCCATCCAAGAACAACATCTCTAGACTTACACAGCTACCGAGGTTGTTTGGAATCAACCCAGATAACATGTTTTTATAAAGATATAATTCAGCTAGATTTTTCATATAACCTACTGCAACAGGAAGTTCGCCGGTCAAATCATTCGATGATAAATCTAAAGTAATGGACATGGATGGGATTCCAACTACTTGAGGGGGTATAGGTCCACTAAGATTGTTATGAGAAAGACTCATTGAAAGCAAATTTTGGCAGTTACCTAAACTTGAAGGAATGTTGCCTTGAATATTGTTAAATTCTAAATTAAGTTGGATTAACTCTGTTAAATTTCCAATAGATTGAGGAATAATCCCAGAGAGAAAATTACCAAAAGCGAAAAACACCTTTAGATTCTGAAGCCTCCCAATTTCAAAGGGAATGGAGCCTGATAGTTGATTTTCATTTGCCCCTATCACCTCCAAATTCTTGAGATTTCCAATCCCATCCGGAATTCTTCCCCATATTTTATTCTTCTCCATTGATAAACCCACAAGGGTGTTGGAAAAATTGCTAATGCATTCCGGAATTCTTCCCCATATTTTATTCTTCTCCATATGAAGTCAATTGGTTCAAGTCTTCCAACTTTAAAAGTCACGTGGCTACGATTTCCACCACTTCCTACTTGGGGTTGGCAAGTTTCCACCACTTCCTACATTTAACATTTATGAACCATATATTCAGAAAACATTATTTTTTTTCTTGTATAAGAAAATGATGAGAGGGAGACTTGAAAGTAAAGATTTATGGAGGATACTCTCATCAGGGTCACTGTACCACCACTTTCTGTATTTCACAAGTCAAGGAAGATGATAGCGGGAGACTTCAAATAAAAGTTCTTTTGCCACCACTTCCTACATTTCACATTATTTTCAAGTAAACGCAGATACTTTCAGCAGGGTCCCAATTGGTGAGACACCATTCACAGTTGTAGTTTATTTCTGGTTCTTGGGGTATTTTCTCTGACGTTTCATAAATGAAGGACTGTCAAGCTTTAAACACTGTGGATATCACTACCACCAAATGCCAATACTCAATAACTTTCAAATTAATAAACAATTCCACTCTGACACACCCTATCCATCAAAAACAATGGAGAAACAAACTTAGCGTCTAACACCTAAAGTTTCAAGAACACATTATGAACAGAGTAATACATACGAATCCTCCTCATAAGCTCCTTAGACATGATATATCTCTATAGTCAAAACAGAACCCGGTTCCCCATCCGCACAAACCATGGGCCAGCTTTAGTTAGATGCATCGACTTGGGGTTCATTTCTAGGGTTGATATTTCTTTTTCCCTTGATAGAGTCATATTTGCTATGCTTGACAATTGACACCAACCAGGAGTAGGACTGCGGAAGTGATGCAAACATAGTAAAAAAAAGAAGTCATATTACCCCAATCGCTAAGCTGTGAATTGTTATATGATAGATCTATGCTATTACAAAAGAAAATTCTTCACTCCTAAGATCACCAAGGGAATTAAGCATAACAAAACTAATACCCCATGTAAACCATGCGAAAAAACATTGCCAAAGGTGTTGCACAGCCTTGGTGAGTTGGCATTAGAAATATGATGGGGAAAGCATCCTGGTGAATTGTTGTCAAAGTTATCATCGTCGTCTTCTTCTTCCTCTCGTTCCCAAAATGTGTGCTAAATGAAGTGTTGGACCTCGACTGTCACCCCACAAGGCCTCTTCATGAAATATCTCTGCATGAGCTTAAAAACCATGAGATGTTTATTGGTGGTGAATTTTGAACATTAGCCACTTTGGAGAAACAAGGGACAGTTAAAATATAATATCTAAGAAAAATATTTTTAGATGTATGTCATTGAGGTATATTTGAGTTACAAAATAAAAGGTTTGATTGATAATTGATTAATAAGTTAGTCAATGTTAATTAATCTGTGTTACCTCCTTTTATAGTGCAAATTTGGCTAAACTTTCCATTAGTTGATAGATGAGTGACAACTCAATCCAGTCTCGTGAGAATCAAAAAGGTACTTAACACAAGACTCAAAAAGGTACGTAACATATTCATATTTCTTTCTTGAATTTTTACTAACAAGGAGAAGCAATTGGCCTTTCTTCAATATCTCAATATCTTCAATCCAAGGAGTGTATAGAGCACATTGGTTTGATCGACATTTAGATATGCAATTGGTGAGGAGAGTCGGCTTGTATCAAATTCAATTTCCTAAGAACAAACTTAACAGTGGTCCGCTAAGGGAAATCAAGATCGGGTTCAGTTCTCATTAAATATTCCAATTTCATCTACTACTATGAATATCATTCTAAATTGGTCCCTAAACTTTTACATCTCCAATTTTATACCCAAATTCATCCAAATATGTAATCCATTTCAACCATAGTTTAACTTAATTTTCACTTTTTTCAAACATATAATAATATAACTTGGTCTAATGATTTTATTAACAAGGGATGCGATTAGTATATACGTATAATTTAGGATTAAATTGAAATGTTCAAAAAGTTTAGAACCAATGAGGATATGTAGGAACAGAGTTGATATATATATATATATAATTATGTATACACACACGCATATGTAGTGTTTAAAAATTAAGTAATTATCCTAATCGGCTTTGTCCGAGGAGTATGTATCGATTTAATTAGTGACTTTGTAATCTTATTTCGGATACTCTTTTCCTCCATATAGATTTAGGGAGGTTTTTAATGAGGTCCGGGATAGGATCCCTGTGTATGATTTACTCAATAAAATCATACCTTTCACACACAAAAAATTAAGTAATTATCCTAATCGGATTATCCCAATGGATTAGGGCTTAGGATAGTCATAACATTAAGGCTTATGAAAAAAATAAGTGTACAAGTTATACCCTTTGCTAATTTGAAGTGTTTAAAATTTTTCGCTTAAAGTATGTGCCTAACGTTTCCAACTTCACTCTTTTAAGTACCTACACTGTCACGACTATTACCATCCAGCTTAGACGATCTTTAATTTTTTAACGAAAAAGAACGAGTTTGGAACATATGAATAGTTTAGTGACCATCTTTTAACTTTTAGCAGTTAGGGGACTCAACAAAGCACCGCCCTATAGTTGGTTGAATATTTGTGTACTTTACCCTTTTTAAAGGTGTCAAATCAACTCCTTAACTACCACATTAGACTTCCGTCACACAGTTAACAGATGTTAACAGTTGAGTGACCGTTTTATTAGAAAACGATAACTTTAGTGGTTATTTTATAACTTTTAAAACGTCAATGATAAAAAGAGGAGCTTATCAAAAGAGAATAAAATTTCCTTAATCACTTGGACCTCTCAAGAAATTCTTGTATGAACTAATTTAAATATGATTACACATATAGGTTATGTTTTAAGATAATATTTTTAATAAATAAAAAATTAAATTATTTCTAATCTATACCCAGAATAAAGAGAAAGATGAGAAGGTGAAGGAAAATCCAAGTAATTCTATTGTAGGAGTTAATTGCACAATAAATCCTCAAACTATGACTCTCATTCTAAATTTGTCTTAAAATTTTAAACATTTTGAATCCATCCTTAAACTATGACCCACATTCTATATTGATCCCCAAACACTCAAATATTCTAAATTTATTCCCAAGCTTTTGAATGATTTAGGGGGAAGTTATTTGAAAGTTCACAATTTTGAGGACTAATTTAGAATTAGGGTCATTGTTTGGGGATGAATTTTGAATATTCAAAATTTTAAGGGCCAATTTAGAAGGATAGACGTAGTTTGGGGATGTATTTAGAATATTTAAAAGTTTTAGGACTAATTTAAAATGTGAGTCATAGTTTAAGGACTAATTTAAAATACTTGATTGAAGCAATAAATAGACTAGTTCCGGTTCCATTTCTGCTGTGCTCCATGCACCATCCGTCTGACACTAGTATTGTTCCATTTCCAGTTCTAATTTCGTCTATGGCCTCTGAAACACCAACCATTTCAATCAAACTTTTGATAGATCAGGAAAGGAACATCATTCTTCTTGCTGAAGCTGGCAATTATTTTGTTGATGCTTTCCATAGTCTCCTGAAGCTTCTCCTCGGAACCATGGCACGGCTCGTCGACAAGCACCAAAGTTTGGAGCCCGGATGCTGCTTTATACCAGAAATGTTCACGGCGTCGAGTCTAAGAAGTTGAAGCTTAACGTGGATCTTACGGAGCCTACAGAGTATCGGGGGCATGTATGTGGTCATCCCCTCCCTAGTCTGCTTTACCAAACTTCTCCGCCAAGAAACCAAAGCAAGAGCCATTATCGGGAAATCAACTTCATATTTTTTTTGTAGGATCAAGGGTTTTGATTTGTTTATCCCTTTGTATTCAAGATGCTTTGATTTACCTTCCATCTAATATATGCCAAATAAATTCACAGTTTGAATCACAATGTAACTTTTAAGCATTGTTTCTTTATCCCGAACATATAGGTTGAGCCCGTGATTTTACTTTGTAACTCTCATGATTTCTTATGAATAATAGGCATGTTCAATAGCACAGCTGATACGATAAGATACAGGCTGAAAATCCAACATTGTTATTTAAATTCTGATAGCAGTGTATGGAGTTTGATTCCCACAATGTAATCTAGTTGGACGAAGAAGCTTGTCTCGAACAGAATAGAGCTTCGCAACAACATCACTCATGTCCATCCGCTCACTTGGTGGTTCAGTAGAACAAGTAAGCGTTATTCCGAATATCGAATTCAAGCAATGAAGGCACATCTCCGCTGAAACTGTTAGGATCAAATTCAAGTACGTTCAGATTTGAGGCATTCGATATTGAAATCGGGATTTGTCCGAAGAATTGGTTGCTCACTATGGAAAAGAACTCAACATATGGCATGTTGATTGGCGTGTTAGAATGAAGAGTACCTTGAATCTTGCTGAGACCAATATCAAAAGCTCTCATATTGGAGAGGTTGAACATTGTGACAGGAACAACACCGGAAATTGCATTTCCTGCTGCCGAGAAAAATGAAAGATTTGTCAGTTGTCCAAGAGCTTCAGGTATAATCCCACTTAATGCATTATAAGGCAAAGAGAGCATTATAAGGCAACGAGAGTGCCTCCAGGGATGATAGATTCCCCAAAGAAGGTGGGATACTCCCTCTCAATCTGTTTTGACGAAACCCCAAGACTCTCAGGTTTGACAAGAGGCCTAGCCAAGCAGGTATTTCTCCTATTAGTTGGTTACCTCTCATATCAATCAATGTAAGCTTAGAACAAGCAGATAAATTGGAAGGGATTTCACCACTGATGGAGTTATCGGTGAGCTGTAACCTTTCCAATCTTCTTAAACCACCGATTTCTAGTGGAATCTGGTTGTAGAAGTTGGTGCCAACAAGTCTCGATTCTCTTAGAAAGCTCAAGTTTCCAATGTATGGCGATAAAGATCCCGAGATTCTGAGGTGTTTCAGCTCCAACTTGGTGACTCTCCCATGCCTGCGACCACATGTAACACCACGCCACTGACAGAAGTGAATGGAACTATTCCAGGACTCCATAATCATGAGCTCATCACCGGTTATCTTGGCTTTGAAGCAGGGCCATGGCTGGGGGGCGCAAACTGCACGACCGCGCAGGCCCCCCAAAAAATGGGCCCCAAAAAAAATATATAGTGGCGTTTTACTAAAAAACGCCACTATAGATATACCTATTGCGACGTTTTTTCAAAAAAACGCCACTATTATTGCGGCTTTATTAATAAAACGCCATTATATATGGATTTATTGCGTCGTTTGTCAAGAAAACGCCACTATTATTGCCCCGAAATCGAATATATCAAGAAAATAGGGGCCCCTTTATACGAATTTGTACAGGGCCCCGAAAACCCTGCCACGGCCCTGCTTTGAAGTGGAGTAAAGCTTGTAGGTCTGTGTCATTTCCTCTAGCTACAAGGCTTGCTGTTGCTAAATCAAGCAGATTAAGACCCTGCAAGTTTAAGCATAAGAGAAGAATTATAATTTCAACATCAGTTTTCCTGTGTCTATTGTTATTACATTTTCATGTCAGGCAACCATATATTTATTAATTACAATTTACAATCCTAATTGACATCAAAGATCAGGTAGAAAATTGTTTCAGTATAAAATTCCATTTAAAATAAGAAAATTGAAGAATCTGATGTATTTAAACCTTCATGCTAATAATTTCAGTGGTGGAATTCCTTAAAAAATAGGAAATTTGAAGAACTTATCACTAAAGGAATAAAAAAATTTAGGAATAGATTAATAGTAACTACGAGTAATTTTATCACAAATATTAAGTTTCTGTGACAAAATGTGTGTACAACACTAATACTAAAAGTAATTGTCATGTATTTCTATTTATTCTCTATTATAGTAATAATTGTGGTAATTAAATTGTTTTCAAATTAAATTACTGCTAGTGATATAAGTTTTATCGTTACTAAAACTTTGACATAATTAGAATACACAAATTGACGAAAATTATTTTCATGATGAAAATGATATGATAGTGAAGACATATAAAGCAGGGGCGAAGCTCCTTTAGGGCACAAAGGGGTCCATACCCTGTAAAATTATTTTATGTACGATAGATTTCGATCTAATTATATTTTAGTTAATGTAAAAATAAGTATTAAATTAAGAAATATAAGAATTTATTAGATATTTAATCAAGAAGGAGCGAATTAAAGAATGATAATCCAATACCAACAACCGGTTGGTCTAGCGGGATGAGGTACTAGATCCCTTAAGGAAGGTTAGAGATTCGAATTTTGCCAATTACGAATGGAGCAAACTGGGTTATCCAGAAAAAGGAATGATAATCCCCAACTTTTTGATCTAATAACAATTTAGGTCATTATAAATTTAATTATTATACAAATTAGACATTGTTTTCTGAATTGTAAGAGTAAATACCTAATAAGTCATTGTATTTTTCTTAAAAAGTTTAATATTTCAGCCCCTATCTATATATAATACTGACTTCGTCCTAATATAAAGTGATCATTGTTATTTGATATTTGTCGTGAAAATAAAGTTTTGTATCACTTAAAATTTTCCTTTTTGTCATATAAATTTTGACACAAATAATCTCTATTTATTTTTATAACCATTGTACTAATAACAACTAAAAAAAATTATAGTTACCATAAACTAGTTTATCGAAATAAAAATATTTTTCATTAATCTCTGTACTATGTGCAAAGTATAATTTTAGTCATTATACTCTAATTTGATCATTTTTAGTCCCTATACTTTTTAAATTTTTAAATTGCAATCACAATTCGAAAATTGCAATGACAATATGACATATTCACAGTGTTAGTATGACAAATGATTATCGCATAAAGGACCATTCTTTTGTTGATTTGAATTAAATTAAATTTATTTAATTATTTTAAAATATAATAGTTAATGTTTTGGGTTTAAATCTTAATATTTATAGGTTTGTATTTTAAAATCAACACAATTATTTTTTTATTTTTTTTCCATAAACATATTTTGTATTCTAAATCATAAAAAATATTAAATGATAATAATAGTAATAGGAATAGCAAGAAATGCTATAGTTAATATATTTTCAAAAAATAAATTAAATTAATTCCCGTCATAATAGAACAGTAATAGGGATGCCGCTTGATGATGCTGAACTGAAAGTCATTGGCATCAGTGAGTTGGAAGCCATTGCTTTACTGGGAGCTTGTTTGTGGTCATCCTCAACCTTGTGGCCTTGTCTGCTTTACTTAACTCTTCCGCCAAGAAACCAAAGCACTTTAAGGGTATGTTAGTATATTGTGTTGTATTGCTTAATGCCGCCACTGTCTCCAGCTGGCATCTCTCTTGTATAAATACGTTGGTCTCTAATGAGATATTACAGCTTTCATCAATAAAATCCTTACTGAGTTGAGCTCTCATAGACTTGCAAGTTTATTCTAATTTGCTTCTGCATCTAATTTCTTTGGAATGGTATAAGTTGCACTCTTATTTTTTTTATTGGCTCATCATTTGCCTTTGATGCTTTACCATTGTTGGTTAATTTGTTGTTCTTCATCAAATGTTTTGCCTCACTTTCGCTGAGTAGTTTATGTGTCTGATATTATCTTTTGCCTTTGATGTTTTGATCCATTCATTGATCTCAGACACTATGTTCGCTGAGAAAGTCGGATAGGAGTGTACTCTATGCTCAAGCAAGTGAAAATTTTGTTGATCTTCTGTTTAGCTTCCTCTCCAATCTGTATTGGATCTCGTCTTAAGAGGCAAAGGTAATCTCACATTGGGATCCATCTCCAACTTGTTCAGAGATTTAAACACACCATTCTCAGTATCCAATCAAAAGAATTCCCAGGAATGTTTTCTTCCCCCTTTTATAGGTGTCCAAATGAGTTCCCAAGTATCCGTTCTCCGGCATGCATACATTATCGTTACACCTTCTACGGGCTATGTTGAGAAAAACTCGATGTTTGTGGTCACAGATGATCTGTTTTTTAAACAACTGTCCTCCATTTCCAGCATATATTTACTGAAGGAAATAGGGATGCCGCTCGCTGAAGTTGAACAGAAATTTACTAGCATCGGAGAGGGTGAAGCCATTGCTTTGTTGGGGGCTTGTTTGTGGTCATCCTCACCCTTGGCTGCTTTACTTAACCCTTTTGCCAAGAAACAAAAGCAAGAGCCATTATATTTGCACCATTGTTGTGAAACGTGGATAATTCATTGTGACCTTAAAAGTTTGAGAACTAAGGCACTCTTTGATTCGAATCACAATACGATACAGAGTCCAAATCCAACGTTGTTATTTAAACTCTAATTTGATGACAATCCAGTAGCTTATGATGCAAATACAAGACCAAAATATAAACCCAAATTACACTGGAAAAGCTCATAATTGTTATATTTTCTCAAAGCAGAATGTGAACAGAAGAGAAGAGCAACCATTACTGCTGAGGCTGACTAAGCCTCCCAAGATCAATCATACCACACCTTAGATACCTGCAACTTGAGAAACAAAGATTTATCTTAACACATCATATCATAATTGAAATGTGCCTCAGCTGGTGATATAATTTTGTTAAGATAAGAAAACATTATTACCTGCTGATTGAGCAGCTTATGGAGTTCGAATCCCATGGCGTAATCGAGTTGGACGAAGAAGTTTGTCTCGAATAGAACAAAGCTTGGCAACAACATCACTCATGTCCATCCGCTCGACCGGTGATTCAACAGAGCATGTAAGTCCTATTTCGAATATTGATTTCAAACAACGAAGGCGGCTGTCATTTCCCTTACGGTTTTCATTGCGAGTGATGCCTGTGACTGTTCCTTCTCTGACACCCTCTTGAAGTAGAATCGGATCTATAATCTCAACCATTAGATCAGGCAAAGCTTCCTTAACAAAGATGTGAAGACTTAAACCTTCTTTGAACCTTTCATCAGTTGGCCTTTTCCCTGTAAACATCTCCAGCAAAAGGATGCCATAACTATACACATCTCCTTTTGTTGACAACTCGCTTCCCATGCCATATTCTACAATTAGTTCATCATAAATTACATAGACAAATAATTGTAGAGGAAAACCCTGTAAATAATGATTATAAAAATTGAAGGAAAAAAATACAATGTAATTACCAGGTGGAGCGTAACCAATTGTTCCTCTTAATCCAAGGGAACTTGACTGAGAAGCATGATGGTTTAGGCTGTCTGCAAAAAGGATTTTTGCTAAGCCGAAATCACTTATATGGCCAACCATTTCATCATCAAGTAAAACATTGCTTGGTTTAAGGTCACAATGAACTATCGACATTTCACATCGATGATGCAAGTATTCGAGTGCATGAGCAACATCAATGGCCACATCAACTCTTTGGAAGAAGTTCAAGTTTCTCATCGTCTCCGTTTCATTCAAGCTGCTAGATGGATGCAGCCAGTCCTCCAAGTTTCCATTTTCCATGAACTCATAAACCAAGGCTTTAAAATCATTGCCTCTATAATCGACACTAGAAATGGCTGTTAATACCCGCACAAGATTTCGATGTCGAATGTTCTTCAAGATCTCGCATTCAGCCATGAAACTCCTGGAAGCTCTACGATTAAGAAGATTAAGCACCTTTACCGCAATAGTTGCTCCACCCTCTTCAAGAATTCCTTTGTATACAGAGCCGAAACTTCCCGAACCAACTAAATTTTGCATGGAAAAACCGTCAGTAGCCAATAGGATGCTTTGGTATGACAACCTTAAAAGCGAATTCTCTGCACAAGTTGCAGTTGGCTTTCGCTCTTTCTTCTTTCTAAACCACAAGATGAAGAGACAAGTTAAAACCAAAGTCACTCCTAAAATCACAATGACAATTGAAATCTTCAATTTAAGGGAAGTGTTTGGTGATGTTTTTGTGTTACATCTTGACAAGTGTAACTCAGGGATACCTCCACATAACTTATTGTTCCCCTCAACGAATATAGCACTTGCATTCTTAAAAACTCCTTCACTTGGCATCACTCCCTCGAAATCATTGGAAGAGAGATTTAAATACTTTAATGCCCTCAAACTGACAAGAAATTTCGGAATCTCACCCGAAAGATTATTATCAGATACATCCAATGCCTCAAGACCTTTCAATGAACTCAAAGATGAAGGAAGCGGACCTTCAAACAAATTCCCATCCAAGAACAAAATCTCTAGACTTACACAGCTACCAAGGTTATTTGGAATCAAGCCAGATAACATGTTTTTATAAAGATAGAATTCAGCTAGATTTTTCATACAACCTACTGCAACAGGAAGTTCGCCTGTCAAATCATTTGATGATAAATCTAAAGTAATGGACATGGATGGGATTCCAAGTACTTGAGGGGGTATAGGTCCACTAAGATTGTTATGAGAAAGACTCATTGCAAGCAAATTTTGGCAGTTACCTAAACTTGAAGGAATGTTGCCTCGAAGATTGTTAAATTCTAAACTAAGTTGGATTAACTCTGTTAAATTTCCAATAGAATGAGGAATAATCCCAGAGAGAAAATTACCAAAAGCGAAAAACACCTTTAGCTTCTGAAGCCTACCAATTTCAAAGGGAATGGAGCCAGATAGTTGATTTCCACTTGCCCCTAACACCTCCAAATTGTTGAGATTTCCAATCCCATCCGGAATTCTTCCCCATATTTTGTTCTCATCCATTCCTAAACCCACAAGGGTGTTGGAAAAATTGCTAATGCATTCCGGAAGTTCCCCTCCAAAATTATTCATGCCAAAAGACAGATAACTTAAGGAAATATTGAGTAAAGTGCAGAGAAAGTTCAAGTCACCTTCTCTCCCGTATCCCAAGTGGTTTCCCTCTAGTTCAAGGTTAGACAGTTTATCCAACTTTTCTAACGAAGGCACGTCTCCACTGAAATTGTTACCAGCAAATTCAAGTACATTTAGATTTGAGGCATTGCATATTGAAATAGGGATTTGTCCGAAGAATTGGTTGCTCACTACGGAAAAGAATTCAACATATGGCATAGTGATTGCCAAGCTAGAAGGAAGAGTACCTTGAATCTTGTTTTCACTAATATCAAAAGTTCTCATATTGGAGAGGTTGAACATTGTGACAGGAACAACGCCAGAAATTGCATTTGTTGCTATAGAGAGAAATGAAAGTTTTGTCAGTTGTCCAAGAGCTTCAGGTATAATCCCACTTAATGCATTATACGCCAAACGAAGCTTCTCCAGAGATGATAGGTTCCCCAAGGAATGTGGGATACTCCCTCTCAAACTGTTGCGGTAAAACCCCAAGACTCTCAGGTTTGAGAAGAGACCCAGCCAAGTAGGTATTTCTCCTGTTAGCTGGTTGCCTCCCATATCAACAACTGTAAGCTTAGAACAAGAAGATAAATTGGAAGGAATTTTACCACTGATGGAGTTATTGGTGAGGTCTAATACTTCTAATCTTCTTAAACGACCAATTTCCTGAGGAATCTGGTTGTAGAAGTTGGTGCCCACAAGTCTCAATTCCCTGAGAAAGCTCAAGTTTCCAATGTATGGTGACAAAGATCCCGAGATTTTCAAGAATTGGAGTTCCAACTTGGTGACTCTCTGATGCTTGCGACCACATGTAACACCAGGCCACTGACAAAAGTGAATGGAACTATTCCAGGACTCCATAATCTTGAACTGATCACCAGTTATCTTGGCTTTGAATTGGACTAAAGCTTGTAAGTCTGTGGCATTTCCTCTAGCTTCAGGGCTTGCTGTTGCTAAATCAAGCAGATTAAGTCCCTGCAAGTTGAAACATGAGAGAAGAATTATAGCTTCAAGGTAAGCAAGGAAAAAAGTGGTGGACACTTGAAAATGCTTTTTTGATAGCTCCATAAACCTGAAACAATTTCTTAATTAACAAGAATAATGTGTATTTGAGAGTGCTTGTTGGTTCATCCACAAGAACTAGAGATGGCATTATATATGAATAATTTTTGAACTGTGATGTTATCCTATTCCATATGAAGTCAATTGGTAGTCTTCCAACTTTAAAAGTAAACTCTAGATTGTATGGAGGTTACTCTCAGCAGGGTCACTGTACCACCACTTTCTTTATTTCACAAGTCAAGGAAGATGATAGTGGGAGACTTCAAACAAAAGTGCTTTTGCCACCACTTTCTACATTTCACATTATTTTCAAGTAAACGCAGATACTTTCAGCCGGGTCCCAATTGGTGAGCCACCATTCACTGTTGTAGTTTATTTCTGGTTCTTGGGGTATTTTCTCTGAAGTTTCATAAATGAATGACTGTCAAGCTTTAAACACGGGATGATATCACTACCACCAGATGCCAATACTCAATAACTTACAAATTAATAAACAATTCCACTCTGACACACCCTATCCATCAAAAACAAGGGAGAAACAAACTTAGTGCCCAACACCTAAAGTTTCAAGAAACACATGTTACTAAGCTAAAAGAAATAACAAGCAAAGCACACATTATGAACAGAGTAATACATACGAATCCTCCTCATAAGCTCCTTAGACAAGATAAATCTCTATAGTCAAAACAGAACCCGGTTCCCCATCCGCACAAACCATGGGCCAGCTTTAGTTAGATGCATCAACTTGGGGTGATTTCGAGGGTTGATATTTCTTTTTCCCTTGATAGAGTCATATTTGCTATGCTTGACAATTGACACCAACCAGGAGTAGGACTGCGGAAGTGATGCAAACATAGTAAAAAAAGAAGTCATATTGCCCCAATCACTAAGTTGTGAATTGTTATATGATAGATCTATTTTATTACAAAAGAAAGTTCTTCACTCCTAAGATCACCAAGGGAATTAAGCATAAACAAAACTAATACCCCATGTAAACCATGTGAAAAAACATTGCCGAAGGTGTTGCACGGATATGGTGTGTTGGCATTGGAAATATGATGGGGAAAGCATCCTGGTGAATTGTTGTCAAAGTTATCATCGTCGTCTTCTTCTTCCTCTCGTTCCCAAAATGTGTGCTAAATGAAGTGTTGGACCCTAGACTGTCACCCCCACAAGGCCTCTTCATGAAGTATCTCTGCATGAGCTTAAAAACCATGAGATGTTTATTGGTGGTGAATATTGAACATTAGCCACTTTGGAGAAACAAGGGACAGTTAAAATATAATATCTAAGAAAAATATTTTTACATGTATGTCATTGAGGTATATTTGAGTTACAAAATAAAAGGTTTGACTGATAATTGGTTAATAAGTTCGTCAATCTTAATTAATCTGTGTTACCTCCTTTTATAGTGCTAATTTGGCTAAACTTTTCGTTAGCTGATAGATGAGCGACAACTCAATCCAGTCTTGAGAGAATCGAAAAGGTACGTAACATATTCATATTTCTTTCTTGAATTTTCTACAAACAAGGAGAGGCAATTGGACTTTCTTCGACATCTCAATATCTTCAATCCAATGAGTGTATAGAGCACATTGGTTTAATCTACGTTTAGATCTACAATTGGTGAGGAGTCAGCTTGTAACAAATTCAATTTCCTAAGAACAATACCTTCATGTTGTGATTGTCTAGGAAGAGAAGGGAGATTTGAGAGTAAAGAAATAAGATTGCAGGTAATTTGTATTCAAGTAGAAATCATTCATACATTCCTCAGTCGAGCAAATCCCAAACACTCCCAGGTCCCCGATTCGATTAATTCCCAAGTTCACAATCTCTTGCGCATCGCCCAACCCTAATCAGCATCTTCGGTCGTGACACTTCACTTTTAAGCGATGTGTCTTTTATCTTCATCGCCATTTTATGATATCAGAGCCTTTGTTTTTTTTCTCTCTATTAGTTCTTTTTCTGTAGATTTTCCACATCAATGTTCTTGATTCATCTTCAACCATTTTGCTTTGGTTTAACACTTCAAGGGTTCTAAATCCACTTCGTGAGGTGATAAACCAGTCAACATGTTGGATCATCTCGGTTTTCCTTGTTTTGCCTATTTCTTATTTCTGTGCTTATTAGTTGGATGTTGGTCGATGCTCAAGTTTGGTTAATGGTTCTCTATTGGTTCATCCTTTGACCTTGTTGCTTCACCATTGTTGGTGAATGTGTTGCTTTTCACATTCGAGGAGTAGCTATTGGTTTTAAAAGTCAATAAGTGAAGACGACGAAGAAAAGAAAGAAAACTCAAGAAGAAAGCATCTTTCTACCTCGAGATAAATCGAAGAAAATTTGGAAAAAGAATGTTAACCAATAAACTCGAGAAATAAGAACACGAGAAAGCCTTTCTCGTGAATTCTTATTAATAATAGACATGTTCAATAACATTACTGATCCAAGACTCAAAATCCAACATTGTTATTTAAACTCGACTCGATGACAATCCAGTAGCTTATGATGCAAATCCAAGACCAAAATATAAACCCAAATTATACACTGGAAAAGCTCATACTTGTTATATTTTCTCAAAGCAGGTTGTGAACAGAAGAGAAAAGCAAGCATTTTGGCTAACTATAAGCCTCCCAAGATCATCCATACCACACCTTAGATATCTGCAACTTGAGAATCAAAGTATATCGTAACACATCATATCGTAATCGAAATGTGCCTCAAGTGGTGATATAATTAAGTATTTTGCTAAGATAAGAAGACATTATTACCTGCTGATTGAGCAATGTTCGCAGTCTGATTCCCACGGCGCAATCGAGTTCGAGTGTCTCGAATAGAACAAAGTTTCGCAACAACATCACTCATCTCATCCGCTCACTCGGTGATTCAGCAGAACAAGTGAGTCCTATTTCAAATATTGATTGCAAGCAATGAAGGTGGCTGTCATTTCCCATGTTTTTGGGAGTGCATAAGATGAGAAAACAGATAATATGGCAGCACATACAAACGCAAGGAGAAGCAATATTGCCGATGCATATGCTTTATCAAAAAAATCATCAAAGTCGTCCACCTTCAATGCATAGGCAAGAGCCTTTAGATCTTCGGTAGCACCAAACCCAGCTGCCGAACCCGTGGCTAATACATACAATATAACCCGCATGCATGCCCAAAACATAAGAAGTTCTATATTTTGATTTTGAAAAAAATTAACATTGATGCTGACGTTATATTTTTTTTAATTAACAGTAATTTAACCGATGAAATTAAGAAATCAACAATTAAATGAGTAAGACATAAAATTAGAATTATATAAGATTTACAGATTTCTCAGCCTTTTCAAAGACGGTGAGGCAAGCCCCTTGCCCCTGCTTGAGCAGTTCTTTTTCTATTTTCTTGTTGAGCATCAACAAGCAGGAATGCAAAGGGTTATTAGGAAAACTGAAAAAAAGCAAACAGCAAAATCAAACTCATTAAAGAAGGCGAGGAGGAGAGAACTCTGTAAACTTTTAGACAAGGAAGAAAATTGTGAGAGGAAAGAAAAGAGGAAGGGAATTTTAAGCCAGAGGAAACGAGAGGAGGGGCGATGTAAAATGACTGATGGAATTTCAAATTGTAACTCGATTTTCTTATAAAAAAATAATAATATTGTCAGTCAATTTATGAAGAATGGATCATGTTTTCTGTTGACTCATTTTAATTTCCCCAACTAAATATCATAAAATGAAAAAAAAAATATTCCTCTGAGTTCTCTAAAGGATGTTTGGAAAGCTATTTTGGATCTGTGCCGGCTGCCTAGAAGGGTTGGATCATGGAGACAGGAGGTTTCTTGGGCGGTTCCTAAGCTCAAGGGCAGGGCTTTCCTCTCCATACTGTTGAAGGTAGCTTGTAGTGCATATATTTCTCACATATGGAAGGAAAGAAATTGCAGGGTGTTCGGTGGGGCTCAGAAGAGTTATGATGATGTGATTCGAGGAATTAAGGAGGTCCGGTTGAGGTTTATAGGGGCAACCATAACTCAGGGGGAAGTTAATATTAGACTATGTCGTTATTGGGGTATAGGGTAATTGGTTGGATGTATAGGGTGTTTGCTTGCTGTTCTGGAAACATTGTTTTTAGTTTTGCTTTCAGCTAAGTTTTATGTGATTGGCATTGAGTCTCTATTGTAGCAGGTTGTCCTGCTTTCTTTGGGTAATAAAATTGCAATTATCAACAAAATAAAAAAAGAAGAAATATGAAACATAGATTAACCGACGAAGAAATCACCAAAGGAAAATGAAGCAAGTTCTGAGATACGGCATGACTAATCCTCAACTTACCACCCAATCCATGGCATGAAACTCAATGCTGGAAATTAAACAATGGAGCTGAATGAAGTCCACCACCATGGCCACCTAGAGATATTTTGTCAACTCTACATGTCCGATTTCCTACACCACCACAAAACAAGACAGACGCAACAGGTGAATGCAGATGAGAAAACATGATAAGCATTCATCACAAACTAAATTTCTAGAAAGAAATACAATCATGAACTCTAAACAAATCTCTATTTTTAATGTACAAATTTACCCTAACTAGAATCACAAACATGAGATTAATTTTCAAGTTGGAAATTTACCTATGCGTCTTCTCAAAAGCATAACCCAAAGATTTAAAAGCTGAAAGCATTTGAATCATTTAGGCCCTCCATAGCCAAATTGTCTTTGTAGCAGAACCATCATGGCTTCCCCAAAATTAGCATCTTCTTGAGAATTTAAATTCTGGCTGGATTTATCACATCCCATCACATCCACTAACGGTGTAACTCTCTGCTTCAACGAAAAACACAAGATCACCACATTCCTTCACTTCATATTCTCTGCCAAAATCATCCTTGATTTTGAATTCAAATGATGCCTCCTCATAATCATTGTCTATAATAATCATATCCTCACTAAACATAATCAGCACATGATAACCAACAATCTCCAATTGGTTCTATAAGAAACGCAGCAATCACTTGTGAACTTTTCCCCACTGGCAGTTGTCAGTTGATATTTACACCTAATTCTATGATTTACCTCTACAAATGCAAGATCAGCTACAAGGCCTATAGCAAAAGCCAAGAATCTGCTCCCCCTGCACCCATTTGGGGTTGTTATCTTCAAATTTAACCAAGAATTCAAGCTTCGATGTTCAAACTCGTTTCCTGAAATTTCATCTCCCGGGAAACTACAAAACAATTGATTTTGAAAAGAACCCCTTATGTATTCCTCTCCAAATATCTCTTTGCTCCTTGCCCATCTCTGTGCTAGGGATTGAATTTGAAGCATGGCATTTGACACAATGTTTTTAATTGAATCTTGATTCAAGCTTTTGCAATTCAGGAATGTCATGGAAACCTGTTTATCACGAGAAGCATAATCACCATCATGTAAAGAATGGAATGAACTGACATTATGACTGGTGAACGATACTTTTTCTAATGATTTGCAATCATTTGCATTCAAGCACCACATATACCGTGGAAGCGCTGAAAGTGTTTTAAGACTTTTGCAACCACCAAGATCCAACTCGCGAAGGAATTCCAGCTTTGAAATATTGCTTGATACATTTTCTACACTTGAGTATCTCAACCTCAACTTTCTAAGTCCGACAAGATGCTGAATTGAATCAGGCACTTCTTCTATTCCAGTGTCTGATAAATCTAACTCGGAAATTTCATTTGGGAGCTCTGGAAACTTCTTGAGTTTAAAACACCCCTCAAATTCAAGCTTTTTAAGAGATTTCAAATGATTGAGTCTAGGAAGTTCAACCAAACTTGTACACTTTTTACATAAGGCTTTGAAGGTTGATGGCTCTTGATAGATTAGGGATCTTCCTTAGTCGCCGGCAAAAACGAACATCAATTTCCCTTAAATTAACAAGATCCTGTACAAATAAAATAACTAAATTACTTCACAGCATTATCTACTTACTTTGGGCCATATCAAAAATGAAAAGAAAAATATAAAATACCTTATAATTTTCATTCCAAAGTTGCTCCATGCGACCAGATTGCAATTTCAACACAACAAGATTCTTTGGATTAAAACTTGATGATAATGATTTGAAGGGATAAAAGTCCCAACAAAGATACCTTAGCTCATCAGGAAGAGATACACTATCAACGCTGTTTGCAAGTAAAGCCGGTTTAAGGATGTCCCGCAAAGGGGGCAGTGAGATGTCACCTATAAAATGGGGAACATAGAAGTGGATATATCTAAGAGAGAGCATGTTCTTAAAACCAGGATATGATAACAGCAGTTCTTCAATTTGACTCTTGTGTAACTTTATTCCTTCAATTGATTTATTTACCTAAAAACAAGAAATTATTTTCAAAACAAGTCAAGTATAACAAGTATAAGAAGATCAAATGTATGGTTACCTATCGAATTTGCCTCCTTCTATATGCCACCCTTTTAATTTACCAACTTCAACGAAGTCTTCCTTCCATTGTTGAACTTGAGGTAGCCCATTTGATTCATGGTCATCAAAGGATGCTCTGAAATTCCCACCAAGATTCCGAACATCGGAAGGTTCAACGTGGTAAAAGATGAGCAGAACAATATGATTTTGAGCACGTTTGTGCCCCATGATGCCAGAGAGTTGAGCCAAGCATGATTCTGAAGAAGCATAGTCTTCAGATAAAACGATTATCGAGAGAATTGGGACTGCAATTGCTTCAGAGATTTGAATCTCCACTTTATCCGAGAAGACACTTATTCCGGTGTCTTCCAAAGCTTTGAGAAGATGACTGGTGAAGTTGAGTCGTGTGTCCTCGCCTGAGCTCAAGAAAACTTGATGTTTCATCAACTTTTGCATAGCATATTCAACAATATGCTTGATGTGCTCAGTTTCAGATCAGGCAAATAATCAAACAAAAACATATATATCATATCTAAAACAAAGACAAATCAATCATAAGAAGATGAGAAAGATATAGTTACCTGTCGCCTTTTATATGAATTCCTTTTAATTTTCCGACTTGAGCAAAGTCACCTTTCCATCGCTTCACTTCATCGAGTGGCCTAGTTGATTCATGTTCATTAAAGGATGATTTGAAACTCCCACGTAGATTTTGCACATCGGAGGGATCAACATAGTAAAAAATGGGAAGAACAATATGTTGTCCAGTGCGCATGCGATCCATGATGTCAGAGAGTTCAGCTAAGCATGATTTGGAAGAAGCATAGTCGGCGGACAAGATGATTATTGAGAGATCTGAGGCTGAAATTGCTTGGGAAAGTGCAAGTGAAAGTTGCTTCCCTCTTTCCAGTTTTTCTTCATCGTAGAAGGCATTCATTCCGGTGTCTTTCAAAACTTGGAGTAGTTGGGTGGTGAAGTTTCGGCGTGCGTCTTCACCTCTGAAGCTCAAGAAAACCTGATACTCTATTTGACGAGAAGATGAGGGAAAATCCTTCAATCGACAAGAAGGGGGTGAAGAATACTTCAATCGACGAGAAAGGGGTGAAAAGTACTTCAATCGACGAGAAGGGGGTGAAGAACACTTCAATCGAAGAGAAGGAGGTGACGAATACTTCAATCGACGAGAAGAGGACGAAGAACACTTCAATTGAAGAGAAGAAGAAGAAGAATACTCCAATTGAAGAGTAGGGAAGGAAGAATACTTCAATTTGCAAGAAGAGTAGTTAAAAGAAGAGGCCATGAGGAAGATGGCAGCTGAAACTCCAAGAGGGATTAGCGGCCACAATAAAGGGAAATAGAAGATAAGGTGTCTTTATTTCTATAGGGAAAATTATTTGTTTATCTAAATTTATTAATTTTGATTTATTTTAATATTTAAATTTTTAATATTTTAAAATCGTATTTAATATTTATTTTCATATCATTTTTAGTACCTTATCATTAAATTGTATTATTCATCACTAAATTATCTTCTCACTATTATTTTAGTATTAAAATTTAAAAAATTTCAATTTAACTACTCAACTTCAAGTTGCTTACATTTTAGTCACTTTAATTTATTTATTAATAATTTTTTTGACTTGACATTTTTATTATTTTATTAATATATAATTAAAAATCAAATATGAAACTTAGAGTGATTAAATTAGGAGTAATTTAAAAACTAAATAATTAAATTAAAAAATAAACTTAATGATCAAAATATGAGTGAAAAGATAGTTAAGTGATGAATGATGTCATTTACCCATAAAAAAGGTGTCATGTGTAAATCACCCGTTAATTTTTTTAATGGTCAGGTACTAGAACGAAATAAAAACTGAACATTAAGCATGGTTTTAAAAAGAATCGAAGTTAGATATCAAAATAGATCAAAATTAATAGTTCAAGTATTAAATACGTAGTTTACCCTTCTTGATAAAACGCAGAGTTCTATAAATTGGGTCTTGGCGCATGTTGAATTTCCACGACTATAGGTATAATTTGTTATGCTTTTGGGGTTTTTGAGATTAATGGGTAAACTACACCTAATAACTCCCAATTATTACTTTTTTCTACTTCCGTCACCAAACTATTTTTTATACTTAGTTATGAATATTATATTTTGTTTTTCTATTTTGTTTATTGGTGGCTAAAGTTTTGTTAAAACTAATGGAGATGGTGATGTATTTTGGTATAATAAATTTTTAATCTCCAAACTTTATTCATTCTATCAATTGAATCCTAATTTGAAATAATCTAATAAATTTAACCTTTAATATCTAAAACACATATTAATTTGATCCTTCTCATAATTCTTTTTATCCTCCCTCTCCTCTAAATCCAAACTATGGTAGAAATCATCATCAGCCACAACCATTGATCGTTATCGACATCCACTCAATCCTAAAATTTTTCTAATCATTCCTTTTTGATTTCCTAAACACGGATCTGACGTATGTTTCACTAAAAACGGACTAGACTCCAAAAATCTATCGTAGAGCGTCAATTACCACCATTTTCTTGAATTACTATAATTTTTACATGTAACCCCCTATACCCAACCTAGAAGTTACGATAGAACCATGAAGATCACATTAGTCACCCTCAAAAGAAAAACTTATTTGACATTGTTTTTAATACTCTTATCAGATAAAGTAGTAAAAATAAACTCATGACACGTTTAAGATAACGTCAAAAGCTAATATTTAACCATTATATAATATAAAACCGAAATTAAACTTCTAATTACCGATTCGATCCTATATTTGGATAATTTAGAATAAAAAAAAGAAAATGGGTGAATGTGTAACATCCCAATTACCGGGTAAGTGACTAAATTGTAAGAGTTTATAAATTTAGTTGGTGAATTAGAATCAAGTGATAAGTCTAGTGATTTATGGAGGAATTTTGTGTGTTGGGTATGATAGTAAATATGGAATTATAATAAAGGTAAAAGGGTTATTGAGTAAATAAAAGAATAAAATAATAATTGAGGGTATTATAATACCCATATGAATGAATTGAAGAGATAAGCTTTGAGACTTATCTTCTTCATCTTCTTCTCTCAACGTGAAGACACAAGTTTAAGGTAAGAATCTAAACCTTGGTCGTTTCTTTGATTTTTAGTTTGGAAATGGAAGTTTGGATGTTATACAAGCTAAAGGAAAGCTTATATGACATTAAAACAACAAGATATGTGTTTTAGAGATGGATTTGAAAAATGGGTTTTTAGATGAAATTTTGATATGGATGAGTTTTTGAAGTTTGAATAAGATTTTTGACTTGTCAAGAAGTTAATTAAGGAATATGGACTGTTAGAATTGATTAATATCATGTTTGAAATTTGGGTATGATTCTTAGTTGTAAGAATTTGAATGAAGTATTGGAAATAATAAAGTGTGGAATTGATAGAAGTTAGTTAAAATGGTTGTAGTTAAGTTGGTGGTATGAAAGGAACTTTGTATGAGAAATTTAGTGAAGAATTGGTGATTTTCGGATTTGAACAGTAAATTTCTGGATAAAATTTCCAGATTATGCAAAGGGAACCGATACCCCCTGGGGGGGAATCGATTCCCCCCTAAATGAAAAATGGAATTTGGTTCTTTAATCTGGCTTAAGTTGTTAACATCAAGTTTAAGGTTTAGGCTTCTGATAGTTGTTTTGAAATGTTATATTTATGTAGATATTGAGTCTAAACAAGTTCCGGAATAATCAAAAGTATTAGGATCGAATCAAAGAAAACAAGGCTAAGGTGAGTGCAATTTTAATTGTACTTATATTATTGAACGGACATTGACTTGCGATGAGCCAGTGATGGAGTTACTATGGTAAGAAGTGACTCCTAAAATGTTATTTAATTTGTGATTCTTATATGTGCATGAATACATGAAATGAGTATAGGTTATTATATATGTTACATGATATGCATAAACATAAGAGCATAAAACATAAGATATATGATATGATATACATGATTATATGCATATGTGATATATGCTATGAGACATGACCAATGTGAAATGAGATAAGTTATGTGAATATATGAAATGATATATGAATATGCAATACGTGATACATGTGATATGATATGAAATACATGGTTACACATACATGTGGTATGTGACAGAAAAGAAAGAACAAGTGATGAGAAAAGTATTCATTGTAAATGCCCATAGTATACGATATGAGAGCTATAGGTATAGTTGACATGCCAAGAGTCGAGGGTTTCATAGGTCTTTTGGGACAACTCATAGGTCCTTCGGAACATATTCACAGGTCCTTCGAGACAAATTTCATATGCCACTCAGTGGGACTTATACGAGCTGTGGTGACAGCAATAGTGCACAACCTCAATTTACTTGAATACCTTGAGTTCTCAGTAATGTACATGGGCCTATAAAAGACATTGAAAATATTTACAAGATTCATATGTGATATTGTGTGCATTTCTAAGTGAAATGTATTTGTTATATGAGATTGGTAATTATTTATGCAATAGTGAGATTTGAAGTTTATATTATATGCTGATATAGTATATAAAGAAATTAGTGATGATCAAATGAGAAATGATAAGTACAAAATCATATGATAAATAGAGATTATGATGATGATGGTATATGAATATGTATGCATTTTATTATATGAAATGTTATATGGTTTTCTTATATATTTTATATGCCTCACTAAGTCAACGACTTAGCGTGTGATTGTTTCACGCGTAGGTTATGAGAAGATGACGGTTGATAAAAGTTACTCAAGACATGTCAGTTTCTCCTTTCCATAGATCAGATCAGATCAGAAAAGAAATGTATAATGTGTATTTTGTAATAACGATAGTGGTTGGCATGTAAATAAATGATTAAATCTGATAAGTTCTAATCGGTTTTGAAAAGTCATACGAATGAGTTTTGTAATGTTTTAATGAGTATATGTAATTAATAATATTCAATTTATTTTGTTAAATAAATTTGGAAGCTTAGATGAGAATTTTTATAGTGATGAAAGGTTAATATGTAATTTTCGAAAATTACTGTAGCAGTTACTGTAGCATGAACAGTAACCGCGAGTTTGAACAAAATTTTCCAGTATCTTAGAGGGGAACCGATTCCCTGCTACAGGGAATCGATACCCCCACTACTACACATCGTACTATTCACTGTTCATTATTCACTATTCACTATTCATACAGTATTTTACTGTTCACAAATACGTATTTTTGAACTCAAAATTTTATAACAAGCACAAGTGAACCATATATGGTCGTATTTTCTTAATATAAATTAAAATGCTCAATTATTTTGAAATGAAATCATTTTTAAAAAGTCAATGTGACATCTCGGACTCGTATTCGGGTCGGGTACGGGTTGGGGTGTTACAGAATGATAAGTTTAATAGTATTTTAATTCATGTAAAAAATAAATATTTAAATTTAAAAATATAAAAATTCATTAAATATTTAATCAAGTAGGGGTCGAACTAAAGAATGATAAGTTGTGTTCTCAAATTTTTGGTTTAATTACACTTTAAGTCATTGCAAGTTTAAATATTAGACAAATTAGAAGTTGTCTTTTGAGTTTTGAGTTTTTTTTAAACTTAAGGTGAATACAAGGTAATAAATGTACAAAGACTTTCAACTATTTGACAATGAACGCTCATACCCCTACGTACGTGCTTGAACTCGGTACCTCAAGGATAACAACAATCCCTTAATCACTAAGGTCGCTTGGTTCGTGCTGAATTTCGAGTTTAAATACCTAATAAGTCTTTATATTTTTTTAAATAGTCTAATATTTCGGTCATTAGCAATATTTAATTCTAGTTCCGTCCCTGGAGTTGAGTAAGGGTTTGGAAGAATTGAAGTATACATGAAATGTGTCACGCAACCAATTTGGGGAGTGCATAAGATGAGAAAACAGATAATATGGCAGTACATACAAATGCAAATAGAAGTTGTTTTCACTTGTACAGTTCATAGTGAAGTTTTGAATTTGACTTGTAGAAGCTGTTTTGAACAGATTCTACTCCTTTGTTTTCTGATCTATCATCGATTAAAAAATTAATATCTCTTTGTACACTACTCGAAATCATTATCAGTCTGTTTAAAATGAAACTATACTGATACAGAAATTCAACGGTATAAAGATCGTCCTCTAATTATTTTCGTATAATTTATAGTGATTTTCTAAACTTGCTGTTCAAATCTTGAATTCTAGGCACTTTCCTTAATTAGCTTCCTTAACTCATTCCACACTTCTATTACTTATCGAATGAACATATATTCTTGAATCACAATTGACATAAAATTAGGAGTCACT